GGCCCTTACTTTGTCATTTATGAGTTTCTAGAAAAAGAAGCATGCATGAGATAATAATTTCTTTCTGCCATCACATCCACCTGGCTCTGTAGGAAGGAGATTCAAATAATATGGGTTCCTATGTCATTTAAATTTTTGTTTATTTATTATCCCGTTTTTATCATTTCCTTCTGCTAATTTTTTGATCTATCCATCTCCATAGTCTTCACATGTGAGCTCAAATTGATTATTTGAGACTTTCTTACTTGTTCTTTTCTTTTTTGAAAGGTAGGCCTGTATTTCTTTGATCTTCCCTCATTCCCATCACTTTCTTTGCCTCATACCCCAGTTTTTTTCTGTGTCTCGTTAATATTCAAATATCTTATTTATTTCCTCATTTTTCAGAGTTTTTTAGAAGAATCTTGTTCTGTGTCTGTATAGTGTGATTCGTACTGTTTGCTTTGGGTTGATTTTTTTTCCTTCATCACTTTGTAGTGGGAAAAGATGCTTAATTTCATTTAAATATTTATATGATTATTGATACTATTGTAGAGGTCTATGATTGATTTGAACTCGACAATGTTCCACATGCACTGAGAAGAATGTGAATGCTTCCTCACTGGTTCATTCTCTTGAAGCCTGAGAGCTTGTGATTTCTCAATCGCCTCTTCTTCCAATACCAGCAGGTGATGCTGTGACCTTACTTCTGAGTTTCTTTGGGGTCCTTTTTGGAGGAGGGGAAAGGCAGGCCAGAGACAGCTTCCCTTAGCCACCCACAGCCCTGGGTAGGGAGGGCAAACCTGAGCACAGAGTTCATAGTTCTCCCAATCTCAGCCCATGTCTATGGTGTTGGTGGACAGCATCTGGGTTTCCCTCTGATCTAAGACTCTGAATCCCCAGGGAAGAGGGGAGGGCAGTGGGGGAAAGAACACACCTGTCACAGCCAAGTGTCCAGAGCCAAGGGGCTGTGTACAATGTCCAGTCCTGCTAGTTGGCACAAACCTATCCTTTCTCTGTGGAGTTTACTAGGGGTGGGGGCTGAAGCTCTACCTCTCCAGTCAGGTCAGCTGACAGCTATGGCTCCACTCACGGGGCTCCATCAACTCCATGTGCCTCTCCCTCCTCCCCTTCAGAAAAACAGGTATGTGGTCCTCAGGCATCCTCAGATGATGAACCACTGAGTATGGTGAGAGAATTATCGACCCTTCTGGAACTACTTTAAGGGCGATGTTCGGCGATAGCTGCTCATTCACCATGATGATGAAATCATATTTGTTCTTTGATCCTCTCAGTGTTACAGATATTCTTTCCTTTTTAAATGCAGAAAAAGTTTGTTAAGCATTAAGGAGTTGTTACTTACATAGTTATTCATAGCTGACTTTGAGGTATACAATGTTCCAATACAATCTCACCCCTTGTGTGGACCTCTCCACCAGTTTCCAAAAGCTTCCTCCCACCCCCCAGCCTGTCTCCTTGACAGGTATATTTTGTTATTACCATTATATTTAATGTAGGAGTACTGCTATTTATTCAGCCATTGATTAAGCTGATTGAATTGGCATGAACTCCACATTACTTTTTAAAATTTGTTTAATTGAATGTCCCTGAGATGTACAAATACAAAGCTCTTCATAGTTGGGTTTTAGTCATATCATGATCCAGCACATGACTATTCTCTACCAGTGTACATTTGCCACCACCAGTGTCCCCTGTTTCCTTCCCACCATCCCCCAACGCCCATCCCTCATCCCCAGCCTCCCTCTATGGGAGGCACTTTTCTTCTTATTCTCTCTCTCCTTTTCCTTTTGTGCATAATGGTTTACAATACAGGTGCTAAGAGGTCATGGAGTTTCTTCAGAGAATTCAGTATTTTTATTGACTCGGTAAGGCTGGAGTAGCTTTTTAACTGTGTGGCAGCTTTGCAGTGTGGATGTAACTGCTGAGGTTTCCACAAGTACAGGGAGGTGGAGGCAGGTAGCCCATCCAGACACTGAGAAAGTCTGGTTGCTGATGCACTCTCCCCGCAGATGCAGGTTGACTCATGGCAGCACCATACCTCCTGGACGAGCACATTTTTTTTTATTTGGCTGATGTAGTTTGAGTCTTATTCTTAGACTATTGTTAGCTGTATTATTCAGACATAATATACAGATAAAACTCTTCCTTCTATACTACTGGGCATGCCCCCTACCCCAGTTACCCTCCATCGTTTTCTTCTCACTCCCTTCAGTTTCTTTCCTTCCCTTTATTCCTTACTTCTGTAGTCAGGGGTCAAGGGTCATATACGTATCCCATTTGTTACCTTGCATTCCTTACCCTGTTCTTCTATATACCACAGACAAGTGACATTTGTCTGTGGCATTTGTCCTCCTTCTGACTGACTCAGTTCCATTCAGGTTGTGGCAAACTGTATGACGTCACCTTCCGTTATAGCTGCACTGTGTTTGCATATCATACTCTCATGAATTGTTTATCCGATGTTGGATACCTAGGTTGGTTCCATGTCTAGCTATAGTGTTAAGTATTGCAATGAATACTGGTGTGCATTTGTTCGTTTGAATGAATGTTTTTGTGTCTTGGGGGTAATATCAAACTGCAGCATTGCTGGATCATATGGCAGCTCTGTTCTTACTTTTCTGAGAAACCTCCAAACTGTTTTCCACAGGAGCTAAGCCAGACAACATTCCCAACAACATTAGGTAAGGATTCCTTTTCCACCACATCCCAACAACACCACAGATTGTGCCCACTTTTTTCCCTGACAGTTGTCATTCTCCTTTGTGTGATATGATACTTTATTATCATCTTGATTTGGATTTCACTGAGAGTAAGTGATAGCACTGTAAAACTGTCCTCCCGGTGTTCATCAATTTGCTTGAGTGGGCAACAGTAATGTGTACATTGTGAGACTTGTTAGTACTGTTTTTGGCATATGGAATATGCCACGGTAGAGTGCCAGGCTCTGCCAAGATGGCGGGATATTCTCAATAGCTTGCTGGGCTCTCTGAGAGGGACAGAGGAATCAAACCCAGGGGAGCCACGTACAAGGCAAACGCCCTACCTCTTGTGCTATTGCTCCAGCCCAGTGAAGACCAGCAAAACGTGATAATGAACCCTTTTTCATGTCTTATTTCATGGCCATCAGTCTACTTTAAAGATGCATCTATTTCTTTCCTCTCACTATTTTTAAATAGGGTTTGTGAATTGGGGGAGGAGGGTGAGTCCTCTTGAGTACTTTATAGATCTTGGATATTCATATTTACCTGATGTGTTGCACATGAATATTATCTCCAATTCAGTCTGGTGTCCTTTCGTTGTAGACCATGTTGTTAGCTAGGCAGAAGCTTTTTAATTTTATGAGGTCCCATTTGTGTATTTTTGTTTGAGCTGTCCCTGTCAATGGGTCTGATCGTTGGAAACAACTTTGCTTCCTTCTCCAGGGTGGAGGGGTCAAACCAAGCCCGATTTACCACCCATAGAGCTCTGGAGCCAGCATGCAGCAGCCTGGCAGGCAGCCACCAGGTGGCATGTATCCAGTCCCTGTGTCACCTGGGCAGCATTGAGTCACAGGTCCCTCAGCAGAGCCCAGCCTGGCAACTCGCAGGGAGGCCAAGAGTGCATGTCCTGCCAGAGGGCACGCATTACCTCCTCTTGAGACCACACCAAATCCCCTCTGTAGAAGGCTGGATTAACACTGGCCTCCATCTAGCTGGCCATAACTAATCTGGCTGGCCATAACTAGAGTCATCCACATACAAAGTTTCTACTAGAACCTGGGTTTGATCCAGCCCCATTAAGTAAGGGTTCGCAAGGACTTCTCCTCTGGCACAGAGTTGAGGACCATCTACTCATGTAAGTCCCTAGCCCCTGCACAGCTAGAACCTGCCTACACAGGTTTGCAGAAACTCTTCTCACCTAGCTCTGGTGCGGGTTTTGTTTTCCCTTCCATGATCCAGTGCCTGAGCCCTTACCTAGCCCACACCTGGATGTGCAGTTTGAACTCTCACAAGAGCTGTTCCAACTGTGGGGTGTGGAACATGGCCCTTAGGCCACTGCAGAGGCTGCTGCCATTTCCGGAGCCTATCCCAGGTGGCCTGTTTTGGAGACAACACATACAGAGAGCACAGGACCTGGGAAAACTGGGCACCAAAGCCTGTCGAAGCAACAACAATGCAAGGAACACCTGCAAGTGTTTTCCAGGCATGGCCAGAGATGTACCTGCATGTGCTCTGGGATGGCTTTAGTCTGACACAACCCAATCCCAAGAACTTGACACAAACAGCGAGACTCTTCTGGGGCTCCAGGATCCTCAAGGCGTGATAATGAGACCTATGTTTTCCACCTATCCCATGAAAATACATCCCTCAATCTTTATCCTGGTCACATAAAACATTGCTCCCTCTCCAGGGATTTTGAGATGGGCATTTTCTTGGGAGCAGACTGTGTTAATACCTCCCAAGCCCCAGATAGACCCTTTTCTACCCTCACTCCCCTCCCTCTTCAAAGGAATGAAGAGCTGGTCTCAGCAAGCTGCCATCCCTGCTCTAACAGGTAAAAGCCAGGTCCCCAGGGCTTTCCAGATGCTTGATCCAACTTTTAAGGTCCTTTATCAGCAACACCACCTCAGAGTCTCCTCCATCCAACACAGCTCCACAGCCCGGCTCCCCCTCTAGGGTCTGCTCCATGGAGGAGAAAGAGCCCAGGGACCCCTCAGCTCCCTGACTGTGACTGCAGGGCAACCTCAGTGCTCCCCAGTGGAGAGCAGAGCTTTCTCCAGACAAGTCAGTGTTGTTTAAACTCCCAGCGGTTGCTGGGGTTGGTCTAGGTGGCAAGGAGCTCGCCAACAGGAACAACCTGGAGGTTATGGGCTAGTCTATGGGAATGAGCACAGGCCCCGCTGCTGTATCTGGGTCCCCTGCAGGGCAGGTGATCTGCTCTGAAATCTGGATGCTGGACTTTGTGTGCCCATAAAGGAGCATGCAGGAATAGTAGAAAGGTCTGACCACCTTGTTTCATCTGTGTCATAGAGTCTGGACATACTTCATTTCTACCACACTGATCACAGTTTTAAAGAGCTTTAAAGAGTTTTAAAGTTTTAAGAGTTTTAAAGAGTTTTAAAGAACAAAACTGGTGTGGTGCCCAGGAATTGTTCTTGCTTCTAGGGACCAAATGCATGATCAGGCATGTTGAGTCACTTAACACCAGAACCTACTGGTGCTGTGGAGGAGCCTCAAGGTTACCCGAAATCATTCACAACAAGAAATGAATCTCAGAACCAGGAAGCTTGCTGAAGAGATGTCTCCTGATCTTGCAGCAGGCCGATTTCACCGGGGTGCCTCAGACAGGGGCAGGTGCTGTCCCTCTACCTGCCCCTTACGAATCCAGAGCCCAATGGAAAACCCAGGTATGTTAGACCAGTGACTGCTAACTCTAGTCCTCAAGGGATCAGGTACAACTGCTCCTTCCCATCTCCTCGCCTCTATGTCACGCCCATGAACTGCCTTCCTCCTTGTGCCATTTAAGCTCAGTAATGGCCATGATCCAGAGACTCCAAAATGAATCTCAGAATCGAGCAGCTAGCTGCAGAGATTTCTTTGGACACTAATTATTTAAAATTTTAGAATTCCAGGGCATGCAGCCACTTTTGTGGCCATGTGACTTCTCATGCTATTCATAATAAGCTATACAAAATAAAGTATGAGTCTGTTAGGCAGGCTTGAGTGGTGGTGGTGGTAAGCTTAGAAATAATGGCGTTGGGATGGTATAATGGTGGTTTGATTGCAATATTGAATGTAATCCATTATTGTGAATAACTTTATGAAAATAAAATTTAAAAAATTATTTTGCGTAACAAAAAAAAAAACCCATTCCTGACAGGAACTACCTGTGATTTTGAACTGTCTCCAAATAGGCAGAAAGTAACAGAGCACCAAAGGCAATATAGATCCTGAACTATCAGGGATAAAGAAAACTGCAGGTTCAGGACACCATGCTTGGTTCCAGAAGTCGAGATGGGACAGACAAGGAAAGATTAAGGACCTTGCTGTTTGTCTTAGTGCAAAGAAAACACCAAGAGAGGACACATGTTCTCTGGATAACACAAATCGTTGCATCCCTAATACATTTATCAGAACCTTCGTGCTTGGGTTGCATTACACAGTGCATAAAATCTCTACTCCACAATCCCAAATTTGGGGTTCTTTGCCAGCAGTGAGAGAGTTTTTCCCAGGCTTGCGTTCTCAATAAAATTCTTTGAGAACCTCACTTAAAATCTGCGTATCTGCTGTTAGCTAGTACAAGGGAATAGGAAGAAGCTCATTGTTCATCAACCATTGAAGGAATTGCCAGATGTAGCCCTTCTGCACATGGAATATGATTCTGTAGTTAACGTTTGAACTGTGGATATGTGCTGATGTAGGTGGACCAGGGAAAGCTATTCTCAGTGAAAGAGGCCACAGAAAGCTAGATGGCCAGACTGTGGGAATCTAGAGAAAGAAAGGAATATGGGGTTCAAGACTCAAGGATCAATCGGAAGGGAAAGGGTGATGGCTGAGTGGAGGAGGTTATGGACACCTTCTGAGGATACGAGCTCTATTTTAAAGTGTGGTGAAATTGTTTTAAAAGGTATTTTGGAACTGAAGAAGTAGTACAGTTGATGGGGCAGTTGCTTTGAACATGGCCAACCAGGATTTGATTCCTGGCACTCCATATGGTCCCCTGAGGCCAGAAAGGAGTACTTCCTGGGCAGAGCCAGAGTAAGCTCCAGGAACCATTTTGTGTGACACTAAAACAAATCAAATTGAATGTTGAGAATTGGGAAAATTGTATACACATTAAGGTGCTTGTGTTGAATGTGCACAGCCCTCGTTCTACTGATGTCTAGCACCACGTTGTCCCCTGAGCTATACCAGGAATGAGTCCTAGAACAAGGAGCTCTGTAGAGCAGTCACTGTTGGGTGTGACGCACGAACTCAGGGAAGAAATAGAAAGAGTCTGTCTCCCACAACTGTGAGAGCTCCTGTGTGGTGCTCTCTCCCATGCTGTGATTTTTCCCAGCGTGATGCCTCAATCTTTGATGTGCTTTTTGATGCATTCCAAGGAAAAGGCAGCAAACGTGAGCCACTCCTATATCCATAGAATTGGGTGGGTCTGGTGAAACTGAGCACATCTCCCAATGGGTGGGGAGGACTCCTCCCTGCTCCAGGGAGCAGAATGTCTCACAGGACCCAACCCCTGTAACGCCCTTACCTGTTTTCATCTCAGGATTGTCCAAGGAGCATGAGCGACAGGAGATACAAAGAGTGTTTTCAATGAAATGAAATTTATTAACTATTTACACAATGACACAAAGGGGCTGCTCCAGCACAACCCCAACACTGGGACCGCCAAATTATACAAAGAAGTCCTAGCTGGATGAAGATCAGGTGGAAGACAAGGCTGCTAGGGGCAGCCAGGCTCGGGAGGGAGCCCCCCGGTGTCCTACTGGATGCTGTACCCATCCTGTACTGTACTCCTCTGGGCTACAGCAGGCTGGAACCTTCTCTTTGGGGGCAGGGAAGGGCCTACCAGCTCCACAGTCAAGGCTGAGTCCCCAGACACCCTGGGGTGCTCCCCAGGGAAGGGGGTCTTCACAGTAGTGCCCAGTCCTGCGCTCCCACACAGAGGACGCTTCCTGGAAGGGGCAGTAGCAGGGGCAGCAGGATTGCAGGCCCTTCTTTGAGTGGGTTGGGTCTGAGAAGCCCCCCAGGCCCTCGGGCAGCGGGGGCCAGTGTCTGAGCCAGGGCTCATGGGGAAGCCCCGCAGAAGGCTGTGTTGAGAGGCCTGGAGGAAGCCCAGGCTGGGCAGCTCCTCCTCCTCCTCACTGGAGCCCTCTGCTGCCCCATGTGGCCCCTGGCCAGGAGGGGCCTCTCCCAGCATGAGGGAGACCCTGCTGTCCAGAGTAGGGGCAGCAAGGCCGGGACAGGGGGCCTGTTCTGCCTGAAGGGATGGGGATTCCAGGCTCCCCAAAGAGAGGACAGAGGCTCGAGGTGCCATCCCAGTGGACTCAGCCTGCACAGGTCTTGAGGCGTGTCCAAAGTCAGTCTCAGGGGGGCAGGATTCAGCGCTGGCCCCTGGCTTATGGCCCCAGGTAGGAGTTGTGTTGCAGTGACTTGCGGCACTCTCAGATGGAATTGAGTCCTTTGGAGTCAGCTGGTGTTGGGGACAAGCCTTCTGGACCTCCTTGTCCAGCGCAGCCCGTAGACGCTTTTCCACAATCTGAAGGGAGGAAGGAGAGTGTGGGCATGTGGGGGTGCAGGGTGGGACAGAGAGTGACCGCGACTCCTCCCAGAGTAGAAAACTCAGATATCTGTCCCACTAAGGGCCCTCACCCCCGCCAACCCTTCCTTCACCCCATATTCACGTCCTCATCTTCCCTGAGGTCACAAAGGGAGGCCTCTGGCCATGGCCTGGGCAGGGAGGGCACCAAGTGACTAGGCCCCAGTGCTGGGCGCCCCTCCCTGACTCATGACCAACCTGCTGCTCTGAGTGCCCTGGGACCTGTCCCCTGAGTCCCCTGCAGGGACTCTTTTCCAGCAATCACATGCAAAATGCCTCCTGTTTGCCGTGGGCCGCTACCCATTGCCTTACAGGAAACCCTCACATTATTCCCCTGGGTCCTGCATGGACCCCAGAGACCTATGTGCCTCACCTGTGTGGGGGTGAGTCCTTCCTCCTCCTCGAGCTCCTCAGCCAGGTCCAGGAAATCCAGCTGGGATTCTGGGGAGAGCAGGTACGCCAGGAAGCTGGGGTGAATGACTGCCTCGACCTTGGAGGGGAAAGCAGGTGTGAGGGTTCTCATAGGGACTAGGAAGGAATTAAGATGCAAACACACCCGTTCTCAGCACAGTGCAGGGTCTTGGACGGTTGCACATAGTCTCTGTCATGTACACACATGACACAAAGACACACACTCTTCCACCTCTAGGCACATGTACATGTATCCACACATTTCTGTGCAGAGCCCACACAGTACACACAGATGGAGACACACAGAGATGTTCACACATCGACCAAACCAAGAAATTCACAAACTAGGGCCAATGTTTGTACACAGGGGACACATATGCACACATACACACAAACACAAGTAGAAATATGTCACTACCAAGCCCTGGACAGAAGCAACCCTGCGCCCTCCCCACCCTACAGCAGTCCCCAAAACCCACCTTGGTGACAAAGGCCTCCTGGGAGCACAGCTCGTACACATAGCTCAGGAGCCCCGGCTCAGGGCAGGTCCCGGCCTCCTCCTGCTGCTCCTTCCTGCCCGCTGCCCTTCGGCCAAGGGGCGCCCCGCAGACTGTATCGGGGGCCGTTAGCTTCTCGTCCATGATATCCATGTTCTCCTGCACGGTCTCAGGGGGGATCTCCTTGGGGGCCTTGGTTTGGGGGCCCGCTGTGGTTTGTGCGTCTTGGGGCAGGCTGCCCGAGCCCAGGGTTTGGATTTCTTAGGGACACAGGCTGAGGAGGAAGAAGGGGAGAGGGACGTGAGGGGACCCCGCATCCATTGCCCTTAGACACACAGCACTGAGCACAGAAATGGGGATGGATACCTGTGGGATGGGTCAGGTCAGGTGTGTGTCTACATCTGTGTGTAATAGAATCCCATAACTGCGTGAGGGATGAGGGGACCCTCAAAGGGAGGAGGGTCAACTGTGTCGCCAGGGTCTCCAAACCCACTTCAAAGGTGAGTCTGACGCCCTCAGGCAGCGTGCTGTGTTCAGGGAGAGGGAGAAACCCAGGAACAGGGGGCCGCTGAGCATAGGCCTGGGTGTCCCCGGGAGAGTGAACGCTCCCTGGCAGGGCACGAATCCTAGCACCTTTCTGGGCCTATGAAAATTAGCTGGGGAACAGTGTCGGTACCTGGCTGCTGGCCTAGCGGTGGGCCTGGAGCCCCCTGAGGCTCAGGCCTGGGTGGGGCAGTGGTTGGCAGGCCCTGTACTCCATTCATCCACTGCAGCTTCTGCGCTTCCATCTCTTCCTCAGCCTCAAACTCCATGAACCTGGTATGGGGAGCACAGACCCCATCGAGATGGGCTGGCCTGGACCACACTGGATGAGGCAGGGACAGGGAACTCTCACGGCCAAGACCTCAGGAGGGTGGAGAATGGGTGGGCACAGACCCCGGCGCCCCCAGTGATTCCCCATATCAGCCTTTTGAGCGTCACAGAAAATAAGGGACTGTGACCCTCAGACTGTGGTCAGGAGCCCCAGAGTGGGGTGGGGAGAAGTGTCCCGGCCCCAGGAGGGACAAGCTTCCACAGGGGAAGGGCCTCCCGCGGATGCCAAGGATGCCTTGGCCATCTGGGAGCAGCCCCTGAAGCCCGGTCCCGCAGCCAGCCCCAACCCCCACACTCTGCCCAGGACTGACTTACTTGGCAGCCATGTCGTAGTAGATCATGCGGTCAAAATTGCTCGTGCCCTCCCATTCCCGCAGGGCCCGGCGCAGGCCTTCCTCCAGGCTCATGGTGGGCTTCAGGCGGGCCAGGGTGCGCAGCACCGGGCTGCAAGGACAGGCTCGGTCAGGGTCTGTATCTGCCAGGAGCCCCCGCTGCCCTACACCCATGCCTAGACCCCCCATGGTGGCCTGGTCTCCCCGCACAGAGTTGACTCTGCCTCCCACACACCAGCTCAGTGGCCATGCTGGTGTTATCCCTCAGCTCTGGGGATACGTCATGAGATGCCAAGGCCGAGCAGTCATGGCCTGTCTGAACCCTGGTGCATCTGTGATGTGTCTGGTATTAGGAACAGAATGTCTCTCCTACAGACCACAGGTCGGGTCCAACCCTGATGAGCAGACTGAGTTGAAGCTTTAGGGCATGACTAGTCACTATGGGATTTGAGCCGAAACCCTGGGGTGGCATTCCTGAGGTCATGCTGTCATGGACCCTACCCTGGGGGTCACCCCAATCCCTTCCTGTGAAGCTCCCATTAGGTCTAGGACACCCGAGGGACTTACATGAGGAAGCAGGAAACGGCCTCAGTGTCCGGAGTCTGAGGAAGGTACCTCCGGGTCAGGGCCTTGAATTTCTGCCAGCGCCGAAAGTTCTCGTAGACGCTACTGGGCCTGCTGGAGGTTTCAGGTGATGCCTGGTTCCGGGTGTTGGCGGGACCACTCTCACCACAAACCCACTGGGGCAGTGGTCCACCACTCGATGGGAGGATGATGGGAACCACCTGTGCCACTGGCAGTGGAGCCTGAGGAGGATGGTCTCCTGTCCCAGCCTGGGTGACAGTAGTAGCTGGGGTCGGCATAACGGTCTTCGGCACAGGTGACACCAAGTAGATGGGTGCAGGATGCCCATTCACGGCAGATGGAACTTCTGGGCCCCCCCCAGTTGAGTGAAGCCTGTGTCAGGATGACAGGCTGGTTCTGGGTTGATTCCACAAGCCCCACCTCAGGGCTGACCTGGATGATAACCTTGTAAGGTTCAGGAACGCGGGGACCATGGCTGGCAGCTCCTGTCATCACAGGCACCATGGGGAAAGGTGACAGTACCAGAGGGTTGCCAGGAGCAATGGCCGAGGTCACCAGAGGGGGCATCTGGATGGGCTCCCAGGGTGGTGGCTGGGGGAGCCCTGGATTGAGAAAGGGCAAGACCCGGAAAGCAGAGCCGGAGACCCCAAGGTTCATGGTCATCTCTGGGAGCAGTACAGGAGACACTGTGGAGAGGAGGGAGGGGAGTGAGAGGGAGACGTGTGGGGGAGAGCAAGGCCTCACTGACCCAAGCATCCCTAGATCAGGCCTTTTGAAAGGAATGAGGTGGTGTGCCCTGTCTCATCCCTGAGTCCCTAGCACAGGCCATCCCTCCCCTCCAGCTGGGTTATACTTCGTGGAGATCCTAAGGCTAGGGTTCTTGTGTTCTGGGAGAGTTCCATCAGGGATGGCAGCAGGTGTGGAAATGGCCAGAGATTTCACCAGTCAGACACTGGGGATGTTTCCAGAGTTCTGGAGCTGCTGATCATGTTAGATTGAAAATTGGTAACATCTTCTAAATAATCTAAGACTTTATCCCAGAGACGGATACAGGATAATTAACATCAGGCATAAACCAGGTGCCAGGAAAGAAAATTGTCTGCCACCATCGTTACTCAGGTGGAATTCACACAGAGACTCGCACTAGAGACGACCCAGAGCCTGTGTGCATCATGCTCAGGACAGAGGCCCTGATGTCTCCAACTGCTCTGACGATGCTCTTTCTGCCTCAGTACACTCCACCTCTCCTCAAGGAACAGACCTTCACAGACTTTTCTCAGGAAAACCCCACATATCACACACACACACACACACACACACACACACACACACACACACACACAGAAACACATACTCATTCTCACAAACTCACACATAGACTCACACATCCATTTATTCCTTGTCTGTGAGGGAAGTATCCAATTCTCCATCAATCTTCACCTCAGAGCTGAAATGCTTGCTGGGGCTGCACCATGAGATGCCAGACCATGGAAGAACAAACTTCACCAAAATGAGAACAATCCAGAATAACTCAGGAATCTGAGTTGTAACTACGCTGAAGTCACCTGTCTCCCAACCTGCTGACCCAAGACAGCTGCTGGGCTCAGCCAGCAGAGAGTTTAAGTCTGTAGAAGTGTCAGGCTCTGACTGTGGCAGTTAGTCACTTGCAGCCCAGCTCTGGGGAGGACTCATCATGGCAGAATTACACACAGACAGCCTCACTCAACAAGGTTCAGGCTGGACCATCTGTGCTGAGCTGTCCACATCAGGTTGAGCTCAGCGCAAGTCTAATTACTTCTAAACTTATTCTAGAGCACAGGAGGAGACATGGACTCAGCATGCCTGGGTCTTTCCTGTGCCACCACAAAACAGTCCCTCCAGACACATGAAAATGACCCTGTTCCCCCATCCACCAGCAGGACACTCACATATAAAGCAGCCATACGCCTGCTGCCTCCCTCTGTCCATACCAATGACCTTCGCCCAGGTAATTTGACACACCTCCAAGGATGCCCTCCCAGACCCCTCAGGTTCTCCTGGGCTCTCTTTGCTGTACAGGTGAGATATCTATGGAGCCCAGGTCTTTCTCCTCTTTCACCCACTCAAAACATGGTGTTCCCAGTCAGAGTGACAATGAACCCAAAGGATTTCAGGGTGACAGAGACTTTCTCACATACACAGACACCCTCACAGGCTTACCTCCTCCTGACGCCATCGTCATAGACGTGGCCAGAGGCCACTGCAGTTTATCAGCCTTCACAACGGCAAAAATCAGGACCAGGATCAGAGAGTGAACTGCTCACGCAGACGCTCAGGATCCGAGTGGGTGAGGGTGAAGTTTGAATTCAAACCTCAGAATCTTGGGCTCAAGACATTCTGCAGTAGGGGGAGGGGAGGGCCAGGAGGGCCTGGCTGGGGAAACATTCCATGAAGGGCTCTGATTGGACGGCCAGAACCAGAACTTTCCTTCAAACTGCTCAATGGCAGAGCAGCTCACATGGCCTCTTCCAGCCACTTAGACAAAGTTTCCCGATTCTCAGCACACAGGTTGGCTTGGTCTTCGCTGTATCTCAATACTTTATCCACCAGTCTAGTTGTGTGCCCCTCAAATCTCTCTCCTTCCTCTCTTCCTGTTGACCTCCTTCAACAGAGTCTACGCTTTCTTTGCAATATTTAGTCATTTGTGACTTGTGAACCCATGGAGGTCAAAAATTAAAAGGAGTTTTCCCAAGCAAACGCAGTGGGTTTTGCTTTTTTGTTTGTTTGTTTTGCTAATCCTTCATTAGGGTCCAATCCCTAGGAATGAAAGTAATGTAGAATTGTCTAACATGTTTGACTAGCTTTTTCAAAGTTTCTTTCTACTGGAAGCTCTTATCCTTCCTGGAATAGCCATGAAGTTTCATGTTAAAACAGCTACGAATCTCCAACTTACTTCTTTGCATTTGCAATACATTTTATGGATGATTTGCCTCCTAAATATAATGTTGAGTCTAGGAATATCTTTAGTGGTTCAAAGCTAAGTTTTGCCAGAGGCTCAATGATGTGTTTTTAATGCATGGCTGGGTGTTCCCTTCAACTTCGCCTTGTAATACAATGCTCTCTCCCACACCAAACTGGTTTTCTGTTGTTAACATATTTCTAGACATGTACTATGAACTGAAACCCCTAAGGATCTCATTTTTATGAACTCATAACTGATTTCCACTCTGGTTAAAAGTACATGTACGTTCTACCAGCTGGCATGTGTATTGATTTCTTTATATTGGTCAAACGGTTTCTCTCTTGTTCAGGAGACTCCATCCACACAGCATGAACTTCTGCAGTCCCTAACTTTATCCTTATTATGCCTGAAAAGCCACCAATCTCGTGCATGACTGGCCGACATTTGCACCACTGCAGCCTGTAGGTGCGCGCACATTGGGGCTGTCCTGGCTCAGTTCTAAGCAGTTAGAGGTAACGGACACGCACACGCACCTGCATCTCTCGCGGGTCTGCAACTGCCAACGTCCTACAAGCTATGGGTGTAATGACTCCTCTTTGGGATAGTCGCACCCATGCCTATGTCAGGCTCAACAGAGGGGTATGTGGCACTTTCCAGCCTTCTGGGGGCGCGTCTCCTCCAGGCTCTGGCAGCGCCGCACACCTGCGCCAGATCGGTTCCGGATCTGGACGCTGAGAGCTAGGGTGGTAAAGGACTCCTGGGACCATTCAGACTGCTACTTGGGGTCGGAGCGAATGTGCAGCGGGGGAGGGCCATTGCCTTGCATATGGCCAACCTGGCTTCCATCCTCTTCATCCCAGATGGTACCCTGAGTACCGCCAGAGTAATTCCTGAGTGCAAAGGAATTCCTCAGCACAGCCAGTGTGGCTTCAAACCAAAAGAAAAGAATCCCAAAATACAACAGCAATAAAACAGCAAGAGCAAACAAAGCCCTAATACCATGTGGACCTTTTGTGTAGGATGCAAAAGCAAACACAAAGTTTTTCCTTATTGATAACTTTAGCCCTTGAACATGAAAAAAGTTAGGTCATTCCTAAATGGGGAAAATGGGAAGCTCTGACATACATAGAAAATGCATACATAGAAAAGCTTCACCTTTGTTTCCCGAAGCGTTTTAGAAACCAACAATTAGGTTCCATCACTATTCCCTCGTCAATAAATGAAACAGTTTTCTTGACTTAAATATTGAAACAATCATACTCTGACATCCAATTGTTGTGCAATTCGTAGCCTGGTTGACAGGAGATGCAAGAATTAAGCAAATATCGACAGACATATGTAAGGTTCAGTTGAGCTTACAAAATTGACAGTGAAACTATGTTTTTGTATATTGTAATGCCTTAAAAACCTCTTAAATGTGTGTTCATCATCTGTAGTGTTTTAGGACAAGACACTTCATTTATAGAGACCAGGTAGAGGTGTCCAGCCATTGTCAGCTCACAAGTACATGGGTGTAATGCTGCAATCCCAGATCTGTTTGAGTTTAACCATGGTGATTACCAGTTCCAAGAAAGCAGTAGGATGGCCAGATGACAGAGACAGGGATTTCAGATTGTTTACTTCAGGAAGCAGCTAGTGAAATTTTGGGCCCAGCAGAGCAAGCTGAGCTTGATGACCCATTAAATATGAGGAACCTGTGGTGGTGGTGGTGGTGGTGATTCTGGTATCATGGTTACACTAATTCAGTTTCCTTCATCCCACGAAGAATTTGTTAGGATGAGAAATATCTGCTTTAGAAAGGGGAGAGCAAAGAGCAATTGGAAAGAATCTTAAGAAATTCCAGAGCGAAGGAGGATGGTGTACTGGGCAGACAAGGCAGCAGCTTATTGAGTGTGTCCAATCTCTCCTGGGAGTAGCGAGTCATGGAAGCCCTTCTGGATTCTTTCCCAGGGCACAGAATGAGGGGTGTTCTTCACCCTGAGTTGTGAAGGTCCAGTGTTGATGTGTTTGCAAAGTAGGCACATGTGTAGTGGTCATGGGATGTGGTTTTCTGCATGTTATATGTGCATCGCACAACTAAGGTCATATATGTTGTCATCAGGAACTCTCAACCTGGGTGCCTTTCCCCACCATTGTCCTCAGATCACCTTCAGTCTGCTTCTTCCTTGACTGAGGTTTTCTTTTGTAATCAAAAGTCAAGACATCTTTTCATTCAGGAGTTTTTAATTACTTTCCTTTGTTTATATAGCACGCTGAGATCCTACAATATTTGTCCGTTCTCTGAATTCTTTTGCTTGTCAGGATGCCCTCCATCCATCCAATTTGCAGGAGTCTGCAAGATTTTACCTTTTCTTGTAGCTGAGTAGTGTTCTGTTGTGCATGTTTATACTACAACTTTATCTGTTTATGTGTCCATTTGGGGTTTTCCTGAGTATTGTACTTAGCATGGCGGTGAATATAGGAGTGCATATATCATTTTGATTTTTCTATTAAGGGGTTTTGGTGGGAACATGCAAATGTGAAATCACTAGGTCTTTTGGAACCTATATTCTTGCTCCACTACCCAACTGCCGCCACATTCCATTCTGCTTTCCACACACTTGGGACTAGCCTCACATATGAGTGAACATATTCCTGGTCACATCCCTACCCATTTTCCATCATTCTCACACCATATTTGATGGGTTTCAGACAGTAGGCAACAAATGATAAGTAAAGTAAGTAAAGGCCCTCCCATTGATCATCGATTTGCTCGAGCGGGCCCAGTAACGTCTCCATTGGACACTTTGTTGTTACTGTGTTTGGCATATCGAATACATCCCGGGTAACTTGCCAGGCTCTGCCGTGCAGGCGAGATACTCTCGGTAGCTTGCAGGGCTCTCCGAGAGGGGTGAAGGAATCGAACTCGGGTCAGTCATGTTGGCTGCCTGCAAGGCAAATACCCTACCGCTGTGCTATCGCTCCAGCCCACAAGTAAATATATAAATATTACACATATTACATTTATATATTATACAAATATGTATTATATTTATATAATTCAGAGAGTCTGGTAATCTACTGAGAGTATCCTGCCCACACTCCAACTTAGGCTATTCATCTTTGGATATTTTTTTCTTGTCAATTTTGTTTATTCTTCCAGAACTAAGTGGTGAATTGGCTAATTTTTCCTTTCATTTGAGAATTTTCTTATTTCTTAGTTTTAATTTTATTTTTATATAGTAGTTCACAATATTTGATTACATTTTATATTTGATCGCCAATCCCAACGCCATTACACATTCCCACTACCATATTTCGGATGTTTTCATCCCAAACCCCAACCCCTGCCCCATAGCAGAATGAAAATAATTTATTTTGCATTATTTGTTATGAATAAAATGCTAAAAATGCTCCAAAATGTTTCTTTAGAGAAAAGTGTGTGAAGATTGTTGTATTTCACGCATTAACCACTAAACCCTTCTATAAGAGATTATGAGCATGTTGTTAAAGGTTCAGTCCTTTGTGCATAGATATTGGGCTGGAGCAATAGCACAGCCCTAGGGCGCTTGCCTTGCATGCGGCCGACCCGAGTTCAATTCCTTCATCCCTCTCAAAGACTCTGCAAGCTACTGAGAGTATCTCACCTGCAAGGCAAAGCCTGGCAAGCTACCCGTGATTTCTTTGATATGCCAAAGAAAGTAACAACAAGTCACAAAATGGAGACGTTACTGGGCTGCTCAAGCAAATCCATGAACAATGGGAGGACAGTAACGGTGATATATATATATGTAAAGATATATTTCCCTCAAGAATTGGTTGCCTTCATCAAATGTGGTGTGACACTCTTGGAAGATGGGTTGTGTCAGGTATGAAATGCAGGCGCAGGGTCGAGGAATAGGGTCAGTCATGGGTGAGGCTCTGCCTGAACATGTGAAGAGCAGCCGTGACCATGGTAGCGGTTGAATTCTGGAGGGTTTTGGCTGCCAGGCCTTGAGATAGGCCTTCAGTGCTGTGAAATTTCTCTTAACTCTGCAGCGTGTCACGTGTTTTAGAAAGATGTGTTTCCTTTTTTATTTGTCTCATTTTTTCCCCCTCTAATTTCCACTTAACTTTCATTCTCCTACCATTGGCTGTTCAGAGTTTTTTTTATTTTCATTCATGTATGTAGTTCTAATTTTTCTTTATGATTCATTTTTACTTTCTTGCAATTGTGTTCACATTCGTTACTTGGCATGTTTTAGATCTTCTTGAAATTCCTAAGAAAATTTTTGTGGTCTAACAAATGATCAGTC